TTAATGCATGAGGGAATTTTAAAAGTGTGATTTGTAGACCTGGTAAAGTAATGGAAATGGATTTAAAAAAACATTGATCTTAAGTCATTTACATTTAAAAAAAAATTTTTTAAATAATATGGATTGGATGGAAATTGGGATGTAATTTAGATGAAAACTGCTATTTGTCAGTAAGAAATAATAAACTAGAAAAGGCATGTTTATTCATTGGTAAAAAAGTGTAAACAATGAAGAACATTGAGTTGTTGTGATTATGAAATTGAATGATGATGCTTATTTAGAATAATTATATTAATTAGAAAGATAATTATTTTAATATATTTCCGCTCTGTAAATAAAAAGTTTGAAAATGATCAGCCCTGATTAAAATACACAGAGTTTCAAAAGAGGAATGAGAGGAATTGAACATAAATGCTAGTGTGATAGAGTCTATCACCTGGTCTGTGTAAAGTCAGATGCAATTTTTCAACAATGTCAAGAATACATAAGGCCAGTAAACCAGCGAACTTTCACATGAAACGTGCAAGACTGAATTATTCATTTAGCTTTCAACCCCCTGCAACGCTGGCCTAGTTTACTCCATTGTAAGTTTAAATCTTTTCCCCAAATTTGTGTCTGTGGTAATTGACATTATGCTGCAAAGGGTGTCGATTGAGCTGAACTTGTATTAAACTTGCACAAACATGCTGTTAAAATTGACCGTGCCGATGCTTTTGTTCCAGCTCGGGTCACACATCTGCAGAAGTGCACTATAGTTTTGTTTATCTGTTTTCAGGCATTGACTTTTTTCTCGTCTGAAGGTCAAGGCTGAATTCCAGCCAGCGCCAAGCACATTTATACAGTTAAATGACTCCAATTAAGTGCAGCCTGTTTTGCTGACGTTCAGCACTCGAGCCTCCATAGATCTTCTGCGCTCTGAGCTGTTACTTCTGGGATGGGAGAGGCTGTTCTCTATCTGGTTATTAATCTCTTAATGCTGTGCTTTTTAACCTTCACTCCTGTCTTCCCTCCCTTCACTGCCTCCTCTATTGACTATCAATTGACTGTCATTAACATCTACTGAACTGCTGCTCTTTTGCACTCATGTCAGCCCAAACTCCAGGGGAGCTGAGCTGGCCGGGAGCGTTATGTGGGTCTGGTGAAACCTGTCTCCCAGGCTCCCAATGCAACACATTTGTATTTGTGAAATGTATGTCAAAAGGATAGTTCACCCTTATGTAATTTTAAACCTGAATGACATATATATTTACACTGATTTTTTCCATGCAATTAAAGTTTATGGTGACCACCAAGCTCTAAAAAGGCACAAAAATTTTAATTATTATTTTTATTTATTGTTATTATTTTTGATGAACAAAAAGCTGGTATTTCAGTCAAAATTATTTAATGAGAGCTTTCATGATGCATTTATTTTTGGAGTGTGAATATTCTTCAAAACAAAAAAAGAGAGTCATACAGATTTGGTGCGACATGAAAGTCTTACTGCTGAATGCTCATTTTTGGGTGAACTATCCCTTTAATTTTTGCAGGCTTTTGTGTATTTGAGAAATGCTATGTCTAAAGTGAATTATAGAGGGTAGATAACTGCATACCTACTTTATTATTATTATTATTATTATTAATATTATTTCATTTTATTTTTACATTTTTTATTTAATTTTACATATTATTTTTATTGTTATTATATAGATTGTATTGTTTTATTGATTTACCCTTGTCCCAGAGTCAGACTTTTAATATTAATATATGACAAATTGATTGTAAAATATAATTTTAAATATTATTATATTAATAGAAATATATATTTTTATATTATTATTAAAATACCATAAATATTTAATTTTTATATGTCAACATAAATAGATTAGATTTTTTTATTTGTCCCAAGCTCAGGCTTTTAATATTAATATTTGAAAACTGAAGAAATTGCTCAAATGTGTTGGCTGCAGCCTGGGAGCAGGTTTGTACCTTTAAATGATGTGAGTGTGTTGTGAGTGTGTGATTGAGCTCTAAACGTTTCTTCTCTCCCTCCCACAGTGCCTGGTGCCCCTCCACGCAGGGTTGAGGTGGACAATGTGAACTCCACGGCCCTGCGGGTGTCCTGGAAGCCTCCTCTGCAGCAGAAGCAGCATGGACAGATCCGCGGCTACCAGGTGGTTTACTCACGGCTGGAGAACGGAGAGCCGCGCGGACAGCCCATCATACTGGACGTGGCCTTGCCCGAGGCACAGGTACTCACATAGAAAATAGAAAATGTGCAACGAAGTCACATTGTATATGGATCTCCAAATTTTGACAAAACATGTATTTCGGTCCTCATACACAATTGTCCATAATAAATATACTAAATGTGGCATATTAACCTAAAAAGGTGTAGGCTGAAATTTATTTTACCTACACTTTTTCCCTTTTTTATATTAATAATGAATTAATGAATTAATAATTCATTAACTATTAATGAGCAATACATTTGTTACAGTATCTATTAATCTGTGTTAAAATTAGTTAATGCAATTACAACTACTCATTGTTAGTTCATATTGGCTCAACTTTTTGATTTTAATAATGTATTACAAATTTTAAAATCAACATTAAGATTGATCAATTCTTTAGTTAATGCAGTTAACTAATGTTAACAAATGAACCTTATTGTAAACTAAAGTGTTACCTTCATCTACTAAGTTTAATCTATTCAAAAGATAAAAATAAAACCGTCACTTTAGACTGTCATATATAACTGAAAAATACACTTTTCATACATTAATACTACTGTTTCAAGTATTACATATAAAATTATTAATTGTTTTTTATTCATATATTTGTTTATCACCTTATATTAAAATTGTTTTATTAATTTGCAAAGTGAACTACACATTCTTCATTTTTGTCAGTGTTCCCACATTTTGACCTCTTTGATAGATATACATCTTTTTGATATATTTGTCCTTTCTCAATGAAAATGCTCAATATAAAGTTCCTATTGACTCATTCCAACTGAATACATTTGTGCTGTATACATTTTAAATTGATACATTTCAACCACCAACCACATTTTACTGCATGCAATTTGATACATAAAATATTACTGAATACATAAAATGATAGTAGTCATCTCGATCCGACCAAAATCAGACAAAATTGAAGTCAGAGAACAAGTGGGAAGAGTTTTATTCATAAAGTGTAATTCCAGCTTGCAGAGGGATGATCTGAACTCAACGAGTGTTATTCAAATGAAGTTAATATTAATATATACGTATTTGAGAGCAATTGGTTTTTGATGAAATGGATCAGGAGCTGTAGTGGTGCTGTAATCCTTGCTGAGTATTAATGGGAGAGAGCAGCCGGCCGTGGAGATCTGCTGTAGGATTGTTATTCAGCGTTTAGCCTACAGGAGCACGCTGACTCTCTGACTAATTTAGTGTGTGTGTGTGTGTGTGTGACAAGGAATTACACCGCATGCATGACTTGCAGCATGCGTGATGCTAAGAGACCTGTGCCTCATAAATGTCAGAACTCAAGGAACAGAACGAGATGCGTGTCAAACTGCAGAAAAGTTCAGATGCGTCCTCGAAGAATCTGCCTCGTTCCCGTTGGCTGCCCTCGGTGATGCGTTCGTCTCTGCTCTTTTTCTCTGAAGGGTGGAGAACCTCGTCTGCTGTTCACACATGCTTATTTTGGGTTTTCTTTCTCCCTCGCAGCAGATAAACTCACACCTCTTTTTCCATTCGTCAGCTGCATTCCTGTCTTATCTGTGTGGAGATGAGGAGTCTTGAGCAAGATTCTTGCATCTCTGCACATTTGTTATTATTATCAGATAAACACGTTCACTAATGCAAACTTAAAGTCATTAGTCGTCATACATGGACTATTTGTCACACTAAATTGACAGTTTGCGTAAATACATTTACACATCAGTCATGCAGTAGAAACTTATTGCAAGTTGACTGCTAATCTCAATTCACTTTCAGTTTAGTCGGCTTTATTAGCATGACAAAAATATTTTTGTTGGCAAAATAAAATAACAATAGTACAAATGATGTAAACAATTATTATTATTATTATTATCTTGGATACGAGATTTCCAAGTTATTTTACTTACATAACTTTACATAACAATTAATTTAATTATTTTTTTTTTCAGATGGCTGTCATGTATAGACATCATTGTTTTACTATTTAATCTTAAAATATGAGAATTCATTATAAAAACATTCATTCATTCATTCATTTATAAAGCACATTTAAAAACAACCATGGGTTGACCAAAGTCCTGTACATAAAATTACCTTAAGGGCATTAAAAGACAAATAAATGAATAAACAAATTAATTAACAAACAATGCTATAAAACTCAAACATTTGGCAATTAAAAAAAAAAACATTTTTTAAGCCATCATCACCTTCCCAAGTAAATAAGATTTAAGCATAGATTGGAAAACAGAAAGAGAAGGCACTATATTTATATGCATCTATATCATTTTTGATTAATATAATCTGGTATTAATCAGGTAGCCAGTGAAGATCATGCAGTAGAGGAGTAATAGGAGCAGAACGCCTGGTGGAGGTGAGAACTCTTGCTGCTGAGTTTTGAACATACTGTAACCTTGCAATAAGTTTTTTAGGCAGACCAAGAAATAGAGCATTGCAATAATCCAGACATGATGTGATGAATACTTGAATTAAGATTTCAGCATCAGCTAGAGTAAGAGAAGATCGAAGACGTGCAATATTACGAAGATGGAATAAAAGAGGTTTTAACAACAGAAGAAATATGAGAGGCAAAAGATAGAGATGAGTCAAATAAGACACCAAGATTACGGACAGATGAAGAAGGCTTAACATGAACCCCGTCAATTTCAAAGGACAGGTCCATCCTTTTGACTGAGGTAGTAGAGCCAATCATCAATATTTCAGTTTTGTTATTATTGCTCATTTAGTTTAAGGAAATTAAAGACATCCAATGCTTGATATCCCTGATACATGCAGTAAGTGAGTCAGGCAGTGATGACCTATCAGAGCTGGTGGTTAGGTAAATTTGAATGCCATCAGCATAGCAATGAAATTGAAGTCCATGCATGCATATGATGTCACCAAGTGGATATATATAAATGATAAACAGAAGTGGACCAAGAACTGAACCTTGAGGTACACCCTGTGAAACTGGAGCAGTGGCAGATTTATACCCTTGTATGGTGATGTAATATTTTCTATAGACTAAAGTAAGATAAAAGTGTGTGAAACTGCAAATTTGATATAAAAGACATCCTTTGCTAAGGAAAAATTAATCAAACAATAGTTATTGTAAGTAAAGATGATAAAATCTCCATCGTCATCTCAGTATGTGTTCTTCTTTTGTGTAATGAAGGCCAGCTGGGCACAGGAGCCGTTTCCATATTAGAATCGATAAGAAGCAGTTCGCTTGCTTGTTCTCTGTTCAAAAATGTTAAATGGAGTGCTTTCTGTTGTATTTGGGCCGCGGGGAGCAGAGGAGAGATGAGAGGAGATGAGTTTGGGCTGAGTTTGGGCACTTCCATGCGTGATGGATTGAATCTGTGCAGCTTGTACTGAATCATTTTGAGTGGCCCGTTCTGTCGTTCTGTCAGGCTGATGACTGCTCTGTCATGCCACCCAAGCATTCACATCTTTATGGCCACCATGTCCTTGTCTAAAAGTCTAAAAGAGGCTCTCGGCTGTCTGTCCTGATGAAGTCTGTCCAGCAGTTATGCTCCACAGGCGTCATTTCTCATCACACTCCTAAAAACAGAGTAAAACCGCATCTGGGCTGGAGGTTAGACTCAGTTTTATGACTAAAGTTGAAACACGCTAAGATTGTGTTTAGCACTAATGTGAGCAGTCTCTTTTTATTAGCTGGCATTTTGCCTGCTCTCCCTTGACTGATTAAAACAATGAACAGAGTGATTTGAAACTTTAGGACGTCATGGGTATAAACACACTGCTACATAAAGCCTTGATTAGCTGCTGCCTCCCAGGACTTTATGGGAGTTTATATGGCTCTAATATAGTCACTGTCAATTCCTTTTTAACAAAAAGATTCAGCAAACAGCCCTTGTCTTATCAAGAATCATTGTTTGGCTAATTGGCTGTTTGGATATAAAAAAAAAAACAGTAATGGTATAAATTCTCCATGTTGTTGTATTGGGCTCAGTTACTGTTAACTAAAACTATTAAAATTGTTTTGTAATAAAAATTTATAATTAAATATGTATTAGAATCATTAAAATTAAAGCTAAAATATAATAATAAAATATAAGCTAAAATTATATAAATATATAGTATTTAATAAATATTAGATGAAACTTAAAACTTGAATGACAATTAGAAAAAAAATTTAAAAATTGAAAAACAATTGATGAAACTTAAGAAAAACTGAAAATTAAAAAATAGAAAATTGGAAATTATGAATAGTTTTATTTAAAAAAATTTAAGTTGAAATAAAAATTGAAGTACTAAAATTACTAATACTGAAATGAAAATACATTAAAGCTAAATAGAAATGTTAAAAACAAAGTAATAAAAATGACAAATGCAAATATATTTACTAAAATTGAACTGAAAACTGACAATAAAATATTTTTATTTCAAAATTTTAAGTTTACATAAAAAGTAGTAAAATCACTAATACTGAAATGAAAATAAATATAAATATAAAAAAATAAACAAATAAAATGGCAAACTCAAATGAAATAAATAAAATAAAAACTGTAAACAAAAATAAGAGGCTAATTTGAAATAAATAAATTCTATAGTAGTATATAAAAAAAATCCCTGATTGGGCTCTTTTGTGAACTACTAGTGGCTAATAGAGAAACTCCATGAGGTTCATGAGAAAGCCATCACACTGCAGAAGTAAAATAGCTTGTCAATCCTTTCTCATCTTGACTCTACAGTAAAATGTGTAGCACTTCACTCTGATCTTCAATAAAACAAGAGTCATCAAATGGTATTTAAATAAAATATGTTACATTTTATAGGTTACAACATTACTTGACATCTCAGAGGATGATTCAAGTAAATATTAATGTTAAAGGTGTTTATCTGATTCTCATTCTATGTGGAAGGTTTTCCTGTGGTTTTAAAAGTCTTTTTGGCTTTCTAACTGGAAACTTGGTCTGATGGATTCAGACTGTGCATTGCTTTGTCTCTAGCGTTGTCACAGTGTTTGTTGTGGTGACCTGGACTGGTCACTTGAGGGCGCTCTTTTGTTTTCGTTG